CGGGCCCTCCCCCCCCCCCCCGGCCCAGCCCCACCTGGCCCTACTCCACCCTGGCCCAGCCCCTGACAGGGGACCCAGTACTGAATCTCCAAACTGCCAGGCCCTAAACCCACTCTGAAGGGACAGAGATTCCAGAGAGACAAGCTGTAGCTTTCCCCCTCCTAACCAGGGGTGGGAGCTCCGACACCAACGACCCCCCCCCACGCCACTGTCTCAGAAGTCCCTGTGATCTTCCAAAGCAGTGAGTGTTTCAATCAAATCTGTTATCTAATGTGCACAAAGGTGTAGGGATGTTTGTTTGAACTCTCTGAGCCCCGATTACCCAGAAAACCCTGTGTCATAGGCCCTTCAGAGACAGATCTCCAATGCCATGTGTTTGTATTCATAGGTTCTCATCTGTACTTATACTGTCCCCTAAATAATACATGCTAAATAATATAGTCATTTTATATACATGCATATATAAACACATTATAGGTGTACACACACATGTATATACATATATATTTTTTAACCTTTTTTTGTTGTTTTGAGACAGGGCCTCACTGTGCAGCTCCGACTATCCTAGAACTCACTCTGTAGATCAGGTCTTGAACTCACAGAGATCCTCCTGCCTGGGCCTCCTGAGTGCTGGGACTAAGGGTGTGCGCCACCACATCCAGTTCTGTGTATGTATTTTTACACTCTAGCCCAGTGGTTCTCAACCTTCCTAATGCTGTGAACTTTTAATATAGTCCATGCTGTTGTGCTCCCCAGCCATAACATCATTTTCATTGCTACTTTATAACTGTAGTTTTGCTATTGTCACAAACCATAATGCAAATATCTGATACACAATGTAAATATCTGGTATTTCTGATGGTCTTAGGCAACCCCTGTCGCAACCCCCCGGTTGAGAACCCCTGCTCTCACTGCATCTCCTTCTGTTTGCTATTTTTATTTTCTATCTTGCCTTTCCAGGGAAAACTTCTCTCTCCAGATGTGCCTCCCTCTGTATTCCCCGAGCGGCGTCCTCCGTAATTCTTCCTGGGGCTCCCAAGACAACTCACTTAATGCAGGCCAAGGAGCAGCAACTCTGTCCAGTCGCACCAACTCCTGTGGTGTGATTCAAAAGCAATGGGTACCTTTTGGTGACCTATCACTCATATCTGCACACAAACATTCGTGGTGACTGCTCAGTATTTGAGACCATATTCACAATAATTGCTGAGACTGAAGCAATTGTGAGAATTCACATCAAAATCTAGATTTCTGCTTTTCACACAAAACACTAGAAGTCAGAATACACTGGCCCCAGACTCCTATAGAAAGCACCTTTAATCCCAGCACTCGGGAGGCAGAGGCAGACGGATCTCTGTGAGTTCAAAGCCAGCCTCGAGTTCCAGGACAGGCTCCAAAGCAATACAGAGAAACCCTGTCTTGAAAAACCAAAAAAGAAAGAAAGAAAGCTACTGAGTAGCATGGCTTTGCTGTCCTTGTGGTCTTGCTCTGTAGGAACCCCACAGTTTCACTCTGCACAAGGCAGGGCACATGACAAACTGCAGCAGGTCCTGCCTGCAGTGGCCTCTGGACTGTTCCAAGGGGCACACACGGTGCCTTACTTATATTGAAATTCCCTTAAAAGGGCTCAGGAGACTTTAAGATGTGCCTACAAAGTGCTAGACAACAAGGGGCTGGAGAGATGGCTGAGCAGTTAAGAGCATTTCCTGCTCTTCCAGAGGGACCCAGGTTCAATTCCCAGTACCCACATGATGGCTCACATCTGTCTGTAACTCTAGTTCCAGAGGATCTATACCCTCCTCTAGCTCCTTTATGCATCTGGCAGGCACATCTGTGGTGTGCAAACATACATGCAGTCAAAACACTCATATACATAAAAAAATTTTAAATTAAAATAATAAGATAAAACTACACCTCACATCCACTTCCAGCTGTCATACCACAATGGCACACTTTGTTTTTCTCCGTTCCCATGACTACCCAGGTAAAGAGTTGGGATGCCATCCTTGTTAGAGGACAGTCCACAGACTGACCCAGCTCTTCTGCATTACACAGCTGCTCCAGCCTTCCAGCTTCCACCCCCGGTTCTTATAGCCTAATGTGCCCCATCCCTGTAGGCACTGGCTGCAATGCCTGCTACATGGAGGAGATGCAGAATGTGGAGCTGGTAGAAGGGGATGAGGGACGCATGTGTGTCAACACTGAGTGGGGCGCCTTCGGGGACTCAGGCGAGCTGGATGAGTTCCTGCTGGAGTATGACCGGATGGTGGATGAAAGCTCAGCGAACCCCGGTCAGCAACTGTAAGGATGCCCCGCCCTCCTAGCCCTCCCTGGGGCTGTTCTTGCCTGGCACATCACAGCTGGGTCACAGCACCTAATGGCTTGTTTATAATGATCTCTGGGGAGGTGGTGGCGGTGGTGGCACACACCTTTAATCCCAGCACTTGAGAGACAGAGGTAGGTGGATCTCTGTGAGTTCCAGGCCAGCCTGGTCTACAAAGTGAGTTCCAGGACAGGCTCCAAAGCTACAGAGAAACCCTGTCTCGAAAGAGAGAGTGCCCTGGGGAGAAGCAAATCGTTGATCTCTCTACTAGCTGGCTCTTTTCTTCAGCTCAGTCACGATCTGGCCCTTCCGAGGTGTGGTGGTGTCAAGGTGGTTAGTATAAAGTCCCATCTTTCTACTCACCAGAGACAGCTATGAAAGACCTGCACTGCAAGGTTTATCTGGCTTAAGCCTGAATTCCCCCAAAGTATATATGTATGCCAGTCCCATAAAATGAACATTAGCATGGGGGGGGGGTGCTGTAGGCTAGCAGAATACATCTTGGGAACCAGATGCACAGAGCTCATCTTGATCAAGGCTAGTGCCACGTGGTGTGGTGCACTCCTTTAATCTCAGCACTTGGGAGACAGAGGCAAACAGATCTCTTAGTGTTCCAGGACAGCCAGGGCTACATAGCAAGCTCCAGGATAGCCATGGCTACATAGTAAGGCCCTGTCTCAAATGAAAGTAAATAAATACATAAAATGAATTGTGCCTATCACAGGCTAGCCACCTGCATGGTACCATTCTCATGTTAACTACTTAATGAGTTTCATCTCAGACCCTCACGGGCCTCTGTTAGGTCATTAATTAATATCTGCTTGGTTTCAACATGACAATATGGAGGCTCACCGATCAGGCAAAAATACACCAGGCTGCCATGTGCCCTACTGGGCACCAACCCTGTGAGCCAATGAGAATAGCATCCCTTCACATGGTTGTGGAAGGCTGTGCACTCCCACAACGCCTGCCATCAGCAAACTTCCAAAGGACCACAGAGCCTCCTCAACTCTGTGTCCCGCTCGTATACCAGGCCAGCAGTGGGGCCAGATGTGCTCCCTCAACCGGGTTAAAAATGTGCATGTTCCTAGGACCTGAGGTTTCTGAAGCCTCTGTTTACAAACGTGGGGGCAGGGCCCGAGGTCAAGGACCTTGGATAATGGCTTGGGGATGAGAATGAGATAGGAATCACAGTGCCCCATGTGGTCACCTCCTAACCGGAATGGGACCTGTGGGGATTTCCCGAGGGCCAGCTGGCATAACCGACAGTTCTGTATCCAGGTACGAAAAGCTCATTGGTGGAAAGTACATGGGCGAGCTGGTACGACTTGTGCTGCTCAAGCTGGTTGATGAGAATCTTCTGTTCCACGGAGAAGCCTCGGAGCAGCTGCGCACGCGTGGCGCCTTCGAGACCCGTTTTGTGTCGCAGGTGGAGAGGTGCCTGGAGGGGGCAGGGCCGGGGCGGGGTCCTGGAGAAGGAGGAATGGGATGGGGACAGAGGTGACCTCAGGGACACAGAGGAATGGACCAGGATTCTAGGAGGAGAAGAGTATTAGGTTAGAGGCACAGGGAGACATGGAGCCAGAAAGAATCCAGTGCTGACCAAACGCTTGCTGGGCAGGGCATTCCCATTCCTCCAGGACCCTCAGTGACTTCCCTCCCCCATTCTGCCCGCAGCGACTCGGGCGACCGCAAGCAAATCCACAACATCCTGAGCACTCTGGGGCTTCGGCCCTCGGTCACCGACTGCGACATCGTACGCCGCGCCTGCGAAAGCGTGTCCACGCGTGCCGCCCACATGTGCTCAGCGGGACTAGCCGGGGTCATAAATCGCATGCGCGAAAGCCGCAGTGAGGACGTGATGCGCATCACGGTGGGCGTGGATGGCTCCGTGTACAAGTTGCACCCTAGGTCAGCTTCTACCTTAGCTCCCGGGTCCAACCTCTTCCTACTAAGGGGAGGCCCAAATGGCGTGGCTCTCAGCTCCAGGCATTTGGGAGCCCTCCTGCCAGACTTCCCTTAGCTGCTGAGGGTGCTGCGGTCAGGGAGCCTTCAGTAAATGGATGGGTGGCAAGGGTGAGTGAGGTCTAGAGGTGGGAGGAGAAATGGCAGCCCTATTTTTCTCCTGTTCAGCTTCAAGGAGCGGTTCCATGCCAGTGTGCGCAGGCTGACACCCAACTGCGAAATCACCTTCATCGAATCAGAGGAGGGCAGCGGCAGGGGAGCAGCGCTGGTCTCTGCTGTGGCCTGCAAGAAGGCCTGCATGCTGGGCCAGTGAAATCTAGGCCACAAGGACAGGGACCTGGGCTCCATGGGGACTCCACACGCCACAGGTGCTCCCAGCCCACCAGGGCAGGAGATCTATTCCGCTGCTACCCCTGGAAAATGGGGAGAGGCCCCTGCAAGCCGAGCAGTCAGTGGGACAGCCCCGGGGCTCTCAGCCTGGGGCAGGGGGCTGGGAGGAGGAAGAGAATCAGAGGCACCAAAGCCTCTCCTGTCAGAATCAACTACAGAGAAAGGCGTTGCACACTCAGGACTTGCATTTTCACACTTGTTGCCTCTCACAGCTGTGGTCCTGGCCTCCCAAGGGAGTGCTGGACCTTGTGAAGGTCCGGCTTCCCTGGGAACACACTCTGCATCGAGCGATAGCTCCAGCAGCTTGGCCAAACCAGACCCGGCCTCCCAGGAGAGCAAGGGCTGCTGGTCACCCAAACCTGGCTGTTTTCTTGCCTGTGACAGAAGAGGATGGGGAGCTATAGGAAACTGACTGTCCAGCTGCATGGAGAGGACTTTCCAGGCCACCGACACCCCAAAGAGACAGTTTCCTTCATATACCTCTACCCCTGAATGACTTATGGTTCTGGGATGAACCCTCCCAGGAGACGCCACAGAATAGCACCCCGGAGTTCCTTCCCTAAAGGAACCAGAAAGGGGAGGCCTCACTTGCACTATCAGGAGCTCCCCCTCCTTCAAGCAGGATGGCATCTTCAATTCTCACATCCCTGACCCAGGAGGAAAAAGCAAGCCACCGTCAGTATCCCTCCAAGAGACCACCCAGGCCCCTCTCTCCCTCATCCTCCCAAATACCATGCCGCCCTCTCTACACCAACCTGGGACTGTGAGGGAGTTTTTAATTAAATATTTTAAAATACTTAAACATAGCCTATCCATTGTTCTTTGACTGTTGTTCGTACGGACTGTTGTAATAACATACAAAGAAACATCACTGGTGTACATAGGTACTCCCTCAACTTGGTTGTGTCTCAGAATTTGCTGTGCGCTCCAGACACTGCCCAGGGGAGTGTGAGAGGTAAGCTGTGGGAATGGGGTGGCATGGGGACACTCCAGGCACTGAATATCCCTGTGCTGGGCCCAGGCCCCGGGTTGCCCCTGCCCCTGCAGGAATGCCAGGCCTAACGATGCTCTGGTTCAGCTATGGGTTGGTCTCAGCAGCACTTTGTCTCCTCAGAACCATGGAGGAAGCAACAGTGAGTAAGGGCCAGGGTTATGTGATGTCACACAATTTCTAAGGTCTCCCCAGAGGAGAACTCTCATAGGTGAAATCACAAAGGGCCTACTGCCTTTTCTGTGCAGCATAAACATACCTGCAGGTAAACACAGACATGTGTGATGTTAATGCACATTTATTTCTCAATGGAACTACCCAGTAGGTCAAAAGCAACTGTTCTGCTTCATTCAGAAAAAAAAAAAAAAAATTGGTGATTTGGGGGAAAGTCACACCTTGAAATCTTATCATTTTCCAGTAACTTTCATATAGAATTGCTTTGGATCATCTTCACTGTCTTGAACAGACACCAGCACTTGCTTATGTCCATATTTGAACAGACTTTTAATATAGATCTTTATCTTCTTTTTTGTCTTCTTTCATTTCTCTGGAAATCTGAAATCTGGAATCTGAGGCATTGCACCTGTTAGTATTCTGGCATCTGTACTGGCCTGTTCTTGGGGTTCTGACAGGATACACTCACAGCTACAGCCACTGTGCATATTCACTATGTTCCCTTTTTAAAGGACCCTGCCCATCTCCCATTCTCCTCTCTTTCTCTCCCTCTCTCTGTAGGGGAAGCTGTAGCCAGCCCCTAACTAGGCGTGGCTACAGGGCTGGCTACAGCTTCCCCTACATCTGTCTGTCTGCCTGTCTGTCTGCTTCTTTCTCTCTCTCTCTCTCTCTCTCTCTCTCTCTCTCCACTTTCCTCTCTCTTGCTGCTCCTGTCCCTTTGAAGCTGGTCTCCCCCCCACCTTCCCTTTCCCCTTTCTATGATCTCTTTACCTAATAAGGAACCCTCTGCCTGAAGCCTGTCTCATGGCATCTTTCTCTTGAGTGATGCTTTTCTTAAATTACAACAGTACTGATGTTTTTTTTTTTAGTCTCTCTTTACACATCTAATTTGAATGAATGAACTTCATTTTTGGATAGTAAGGGGTGTATTATAAAATACTTACACAGAAGGAGGCCTTGGAGCCATGTGTGCCGGTATAGGCTTGGAATCCAGGCTATCCCTGGCCACATAGCTAATTCTATCCGCAAACTGAAGGAGGGTGGGTGGGACTCAGGCCCTAACAGGGGGTACCCACATTCTCGCAATCCTCCCAATGTGAGGATGAACATTGAACCCAGCCAGAGGGCTACTCATACCATGCCCAAGCTTGCCCAGCTTCTCTGACTCCTCTGCCACACTAGGGTCCTCAAGAAGTTGATAGTGTTACTGCTTGGAACAGGAGCCCCTTTGTCCAAAATTCAGAACCACTAAATGAGCCACTTTCACGGGAACCCTGGGGAGGCACTATGCTCCAAAACTTTCCCGGAAAAACAGCCTCACACAGGCCTGCTCTGTGCCTGGTCCCCTGGATCCCAGTTGCTGACCAGATGTTGACCAGGCTGTGTGTTCAGGAGTAGACTCCAGCTCTCAGTTGGGACTGTCAGAGAGAGTTTTCTGAGGTAGGGAGAGGATGGACTTGAGATAGAGTTCAACAAATAGCAAGACTCAAATAGGGTGCAAAAATAGCAGAGCAGGTGCAAAAACAGCACAGTCTGAACGTGAGGAGAGCAGCTGTGCATCTGTCACCTCACAGCTCACAGCCTGCTCCAAACTGCTCTGTCTGTTGTCAGCCGGGCAGCAGGCCAGAGCTCAGGGCTTTCACCCGGATTCAGGATTCATCCAGGATTCAAGACGTACATCATCCTTGGAAATAGGCACTGCTTCCTAAATCCACAGAGTAAGGACGGCATAGCCAAAGTCCAGCCTGGACTTGCAGGAGGGATGGTAGATGACGGGTCACAGGAAATCTTCAACACCACCAGGGACGCTAAAAGCTTGGAGCCTCTCTGCCCAAGGAAGACATGGAACCTGGTCACAAGAGCTGATGGATCCCAGGATGTCACACTTGGGCACTTGAAGGTCACCAGGAGTGTGAATGGAACCTGCTTAAGGCCCTTGTCTTCCTCTACAAGTGGGGGCTTCCAAGTTTAGCCCCGTCATCCATTCCTCTCCTTATTTGGGCCTCTGGTTGATAAGGCTGAGACATAAAGAGCCTGGTGACAATATCACACAGGCAGACCACTGCAAACCATGGTGAGTGTTGGGTGGGGCACAGGAGGCAGTCTCGGCTCTGCAGAAGGGCAGAGCCTGTGCAGGGATAAGGGAAATGATCTCTAGGGGTGGAGAAAGGTCCCTCGGCCTGGCACTTCTGGTTGTGCCCTGAGGCTACAAGTGATAGGGAGAGGGGCACTTTGGAAATCAGGAGATGGGCCCCTCTTACCATCAGTATTACAGGCCAGCAGAAAGGCTGGGACCCGAGGCAAGGCTGCAGCCACCAAGCAGGCCCAACGTGGCTCTTCCAATGTCTTCTCAATGTTCGAACAAGCCCAGATCCAGGAATTCAAGGAAGTGAGTACTGTATCTTCAACAGCCTCTCACCCACCAGGGGAGCCCACTCCATACCCCTTCCACACTTCTCTGAGAGTCAGGGGTCCTCCCTCCAACCTTGCTCCTCACACCACCCAAGACTCTTCCCTCATCTCCTGCCTCCCCTGGAAGAGAGGGGGTAGCTCCCACCTGAAGGCTCTCCTCACAGGCCTTCAGCTGCATTGACCAGAATCGAGATGGTATCATCTGCAAGTCAGACTTGAAGGAGACCTATTCCCAGCTTGGTGAGTAGATACAGGGGCCCACCTCCCAGTGACCCATCCCAATCTCCTCAGGGGCCTTCTCAGAGACGGGACAGTGCCCTGCCCACATACATAGCCTCCTTAAACGTCCCTCAGTCCAGTCACACATCCCCATCCCCCACCAGCTCCACAGCCAGAGCTGCCCCCTGAATCTCTCCTCACTGCCTGGGAAGCCTGGGAGGACAGCCTGGGTCCTTTCCTCATGTCCTTCCCTCATAGGGAGGGTAAGTGTCCCAGAGGAGGAGCTGGATGCCATGCTGCAGGAAGGAAAGGGCCCCATCAACTTCACTGTCTTCCTCACACTCTTTGGGGAGAAACTCAATGGTGAGTCTGCCTCATGACGGTTTCCTTAGCCATTAAGCAGACCTGACCTCACCTGACCTCTGAGCCCCATGTAAGGCTCACCTGAAACTTGTGGGCCTGCCTGACCATGGTCAACCCATTGGATGGGGAACACCCGGACTGACTTGGACTCAGAAAATGTCCACCCCCAAATCCCAATTCTGATTTCCCAACCAGGCCTGCCAACCCTTTTGATTCCTCAAGAAATACTCTGTGGGGTAACCCCCCCCCCAACACACACACCTTTCCTGCACCCTCTCATCTACCCTGCCTGACCTTTACTCATCTGATACAGCTATAGCCCTTCAGGCCCCGCCACCTCACTGTCCCCTCCAACAACGACCTCCAGGAAAGATCCTAGCTCCCTTGTATTATGATGAGTTCTTCCTGGGTGGGACCCAGAGGTGGGGGATGTGACAGGTCACCTGGCTGCCTCCACCCCTAGGGACCGACCCTGAGGAAGCCATCCTGAGTGCTTTCCGAATGTTTGACCCCAGCGGCCAGGGGGTGGTGAACAAGGATGAGTAAGTGAGGTCCTCCATCCCCTGGGGTGGGCACCACAGGGAAACAAGAGGGTGGTGAGGTAAGGTCCTCTGTGTCTCGGGTCATAACCATATTCTGGCAGGTGACTAGTCCTTCCCTGTGCCCTTGCCACTCTCCCTCCCAGCTCAAGCCTTCTCAATCCTCAGGTTCAAGCAGCTTCTCCTGACCCAGGCAGACAAGTTCTCTCCTGCTGAGGTGAGACA